CGCATTGTGCTCCTTGCAACCGGCTTCTCAGCAGATGGCGGGCGCCTCAGACATGCCCGTTCCGACAACATGCTACTAGCAAGATGCAAGTTACCGGCACTGAGTTCCCCACGCACGAGGCGATCTTGGGCCAGAGCTCTGCGCACTCCTTGGCCACAGGGCCCTGGCACAGGCTGATGACAGAAAAACGCGTCAGCATCATCGGAGTTCAGAGAGCCGACACTTGCCGATCGCTCACTACGGAGAAAGTGCACGCAGCCTGGATAGCAGAGCCCTTCATCTCACCCTTGTCATTCACAATGACACCGGCGTTGTCCTCAAGCTTGCAAACAGGTTGGCTGTTGTTGGACAAGTGCCACCGGTCCAAGCGAAGAATGACAACAGCCTGTCATCAGGCATAAGGCATACACACTTTGCCCCTGCTAGACACAATGTTGGACTCCTGCATCACCATCGGGCTCGGGGGAACGCTCCTTACAATAACCTACAGCTTTAATCGACCCCCCCACAGCCAGCACATGACTTGCTGAACTTTTCCACTGTTTATCTAGATCCCAGGTGACTTAAGTGCCACCTGACACAGGACTGAAGCTGGATCGTCGCATGACCCATCACTACTTGAAGGAGATTGGCCCTGCCCGAGTTCTCGACGGCAGCACGAAAACCGCAACCAGTCCTCGAAATAGACGTAAACACCTTCACGACGTCTCCAGGCCTTCTTCTGACGGATGACGACCTAATGCGGAAGTTACTCGCATGCATCGGGTCTCGCAAGCTGAGCTCTGCTTGCACCAAAAATGAGACCTGGACGCCTTTGAGCACCTTCTTACGAAGCTCGGGCTTGCCTTTCTTGACACTGCACAGCACCTCGAGGCAGTCGGGTGTCAGATCCAACTTTCCATTGAAGCATGAAGCTGCGCACCAGATCACCCGGAGAGCAGTTCGGCAGCTTGTTCAAGCGACCACCGATTCCGATGACCTTGGCATTGAATTCGAGCAGCACCACTCCAGCTGGAAATACCCTCTCCCTCCATGCCTACCCAAAACAAACCATGGCGAGCGCCAGACGGCAATGATGTACAGATTCTTGGCACCGCTGTTGTCAGCACAGTTCAACAGCGTGGCCACTTGGCAACCCTGAGCCATCCTGCGTCGGTGCTCCGCTCGCTCCACACAGCTTCAGCACAAGGCTCAAGGGGAGACTGTTCATGAACGCAAACCATCTATGACATGAGAACTTCGAGTCCTCATCTTGCATTGCTTGGCTGCACGTCCCTTCTTCATGATGGAGTCCTCCTTCCTGGAGGCTTGGCCCGTCCAAACGACTCAGGACAGCGTTTCTGTTCAGGGTGCTTGATTTACATAGGACACTTACGCTTGGCATCTCCGGCTGAGGCTTCTTCTCGGTGCCAAAGCAACGCTTGCAGACAAGCTGCTGCAGCGAGCAAGCGCTGCACAGAGCCGGCGACGGAGCACAAAACGCTGCGGACAAGATCCAGTCGTGTAGGAATGCATGCCCGTCATGTTCATGAACGTTGCTGCAATGCTTGCAGCAGCAAGATCGCAACACTAAACCAAGCCGACTAGTCGCAGCAGGTACTGAAGCATACCAACAAGATTGACAAATCTGGAACGGATGTGAACGCTTTGGTTTCGTATGCCTCCGCACCTAACCCTTGCTCTCCACTCCCTTCGCACTCCTCTCCGTTTTGCTTTCGTTTGCCCAAATCAGGCTGCCGGAGGACCAGCACAACATAGCGGCGCCGCCTCAAGCCACAAGCTAGGCCCATGGCTCACGAGCATACATTCCCACAGGCCGCGCGGATTGCACTCTTCGTGCTGTCCGCGCAATCGTTGCCACCGAGCACCTCTGCTTGTTTTGTCCTTCGCGGCGAACTGAGGCAGGGCTCGGTCGAAGGACTCACCAACGAGTCTCACTGACATCACGTGCTTCCAGAACCAGATTCCACCAGTGCTCGCACCCAAGGACAAGCAGTCATGTGACAGTGCTCATGCACCCAAGACACACGCTGTGCATGAGAACTCGTCGATTAAACCCAATCAATTGTCGCATCACGTGCCGTCTTCGACGAGAGCCTGAACGTGACCAGGTCGTCCTTCGAGGCGGAAGCATTTCGCACCTGCTCTTCTCCTTGCTCGTCCATCACGCACTCCGCTTCGGATCAAAACAAGAATTCATCCGCAATATAGTCCGAGCTATGTGCAGAAGGTGGTGTTGATGCGGCTGCAGCCACCTCCCCTGTGACCCCGAACGCCTCCACAGCACAAGGAGCTTGCAATGACAAGTTCTTGATATCATTCTAGATATGCCACACAACATTACGCAACAATGCATCATCATGCCTACAGTCTTCAAAGAATCGTTGCAGATACCCCCCTTGGAATGCTTTCGACATCTGCTTTCTGCCCTGTTTTTCCTGGTGGTCACATCCATCCAGCCATAGACTCAGCGATGACGACGCTTGGGTTCGGATATTGCCAGCTGCTTCTGTCTCAGCATAGCTATCCTGATCAGCGCAACACTCTAAGTAGCATAGCATAGCAAGAATTTGCAGCAACATGAAAAGCTTTGGAATCGGCAATGTATCATACACCCTATTGACCAGGGGCGGAGGGGACAGAATCGCACGCTGGGTTGATTCGCACGAAGAGTGCACCATTTCGGATCTCCTGACATTGGGGTGTCCACTTCATTGCCACACAAACTCCAAACTAGACAGCTGCATCCCTTTGAGAATCATAGCAAAAGCAGTGTTTACGCAAGCAAGCTGAGCTAACGCGAACGGCTCCGTAGGAAAAGTTCGCTGGGAAGGTCGCAAAGAACCTCCCACCACCTGCGCACTGCAGTGAACCCATATCATGTCCTCTCAACGCATGTTGCCGCCAGTCTACACTGTTCTGCACAAGCACAACACAGACCACATCATGCATCTCCACATCGGAAAAGCTCCAGTCTCCTAAATTACAAACTGTTTTTGCCCGTGGAACTCCTGTTCTCACGAGCTACACTGGGTTTCAAAATCGAGGCCTCGTGGCCGCTTTCGACTTGAAAGCGGCGTCCATGCCAAGGACAGCGTATACACAAACCAACACCGGGCAGGTCTTCCATGTCACCTGCCGAATGCAACATGCTTCTTTTTCAGATGAACATGGTGCGAAACCTTCCGGCGAAAGGAGCAGAATGCGGTGCCACATGTTGAGTTGTGCCACTGCGCTGCACCTGATTCAAGCGGACCCCCTCGATGCCCACACCGCGCGTCCATCGCATACCTGAAGAATATGGAAACACCCAACATGCGAAACAAGCATTCATAGCACAGCGAAAATCACAATGCGAAAGTTGTTCGAACAACTGAAGCTTCGACTTCAATGCACACAAAACACCGACAAATGGTGACACATGTGCGTCCAGATGCACGGTTGCGTTGCTGTCGGCAACCAGCAAGATGTGTCGCATGGGTGAACCGAGCGTTATCACCTGCAGGTTGCGGCTACCTATCTCGCTGAAACAAAACACCGAGACTTCAACTTTTTGCTTCAACATGCTGGACAAAGGTGCTCTTTCTTTTCGGTGAATGGCCAAACAACCGCACTTGGGCCTTCAAGCGTTTACTTGCAATCCACTGTACCATGTCCTCCGCAGACACTGCCAAAAGCCAATCTGCATCTGAATCCATCACGGTGGTGGCTCAAGAATGCGTCTACGATTAATATCGAACAATATGTGGACGAACATGAACCACATGCAATGACATGATGCTGCTCGTTAATAAAACCCCCCGGGCTCTTTGCTGGAGCAATTTCCATGAACAAGATGTTCGATATTGGGTGTTAGACACGAACCTAATCTCAAATGTACGTGCATCGACGCACTCAAGCACATGGTTTCAAACATTCGTTCAGCAGTGACACTTGTGCCTTTGCAGGTATTGAGTTGTTGCCGTGGGAACCCCGCACAAACATCAGATTCTCCTTAACAGCACGAAACATGATGGAATGCTATTGGACACCATGGAAACGATCTGGATCGCAAGGATTGCAACACTAAGCTTTTGGAGCTGAAACAATGGCAGCGACAATTTTGTCCTTGTTTCCTTTTAGGTGAAACGAGCTGTGACCAACAGACTTAGCCGGCAAGAGTCGTTCGCAATGAATTACCCGTCTCAGATCAACATCGGCCTCTCTCAGATGC